AGCAATTGAAATCCAGTAAATGAGGAATGGTTTCTTCCCATTTGTTCGATTTCAGTGGCTGACAAGCATTTCTAACGGTCGTTTTCAGTCGCTGACAAACATTTCTAACGGTTGTTTTCTGAGGCTGACAAACATTTCGTGGATAATAATGATTCAGACATGACACCTATATTCAAGAACAGATTTTAAGAACTAAAAGAATAATAAGAAACAGAAAATTTAGCGCAAAACAAAATCCACGCTGTCTTGCTTTCGCTTAAAACTCCTTACGCTAAGAGTTTCTAGAGAAAGTGAGCTTTAAAATGTTTTTAGAAACGCTCAAACTTATCAGAAACGAATCCAAATTTTTCAACGAAAATTTCCATGTAGGGCGAGGTTTTATTCTATAATATTCTTAAAGTCATGTTTCAGTTCCCCAATTAGGTACAGAAAAATATGGTTTGAGCGGTGATAGATGGCAGCTGGAAGATGGTGGAACAAAACCTAAAACCTAACCCAAATCAAAGAAATTAGAAAACTAACTGTACGAGAAAATCTGTACCAATCTGCACTTCTAGTTTGTAAATCAGTGATGTCAACGATGCTTGTTTATATATTTTATTCATAATTCAATTGTTTGAATAAGAGAAGTAGGAAACCCTGAGATCAAGAAAACGTGCGTATTTCATAATATGAAGGCTATCGCAGAAGGGAAGAAAGGGGCAAGTAGGCAGCTTCAAAGGAGTGATGCGTAGCTGTGCGACGGGTTGCGTCGTGCTCACAGGCGTTCCTTCGGCAGCCGCTGAAGGCAATGGTCACATTATTATAAAGAGGATCGTGAAGATAGTCGTTTCATAAACCCACCCTACATTAGTTAGCAGAGATACGGATTAGTAGTACATTACGTAACAAATGCTCCAAGCAGACGATTCGCGCAGATCTTGAGTTTGTAGCCCGAGCATGGCGAGGGTAACGAAAGACGACTCTGCGCATTGTGTACTTGTTACGAATACTATTTTTTAACGTCCAGTGTCCGAAAGTTATTTCGCTCACGCTTCGCGATGTTTCGGAAAAGTTACGAAATGTTTCACACTCTATTACTTAGAATGAAAAATATGTGTTTCGCGCACGGAAAACAAGCACGAGTAAATGGGGTTTTGCGAACGGGTAAAAAAAAATTAGTAATTTCTCTAAATATGAGGCCCAGATATTACTTGTGAGAACGATGAAGTATTTACTAGTTGAAGATTTGATGCCTAAGCATCAGGATATCTGAATCTCCTACCCCGTTTAAAAACAAAAAAACCTCCTTTTCCTCCCTATACTATATACAGGGAGGAAAAGTAACAAAATTTGGACAACCTCACCACATCAGTCTTGAATTTTTTATTGCAATATCCATTTTGAGGTGTAACTTTGCAAACATTCCACGATAAGGTACATTAGAGCTGTCTGAAATATGATTAATATAAATGCAGATAGCGAGGAGATACACTCGTATTACAAATTTTTATGGTAGCTTCACATTCCTGTCACTATTATGATAATACTGTCAATTAAGTAATTGAAATGATTTACATATTTCATATTATCATTAAATAGTATTTTACGTCTTAAACAATTTTTCCCGAGAATGCTTTTGACTTTAGTTTTCTTAGACAAAAATCATTTTTAAATTTATAATTTTATGCACAACACACTCTGGTTAACTTGCACTTTGCCACAAATCATTATTCAATTTCACAAAATTGTACTGATCACAAACTAAAAAATAAATTACTTTTAATAGGAAGTATATGTCTCTCAAAAGAACATACAAAATCAAAATGTCTGCATATCTCATACTCAATGCATTATCATATATAAGTTATTTACTCTTCAAAACATGGCAATTTGAATAAAAACTTCTGAAAATACAGTTACACAATATTCACATAAAATGTGAGTGATATTCATATAATACACATAAATTATGGCATATATATCACTTACAAAAGAATTTTCATGATTTATCCGATTTTCTTTTAGCAGCTTTATCTTTCTTATATTTTCAGTAATGCGGGTTATAAAAAATCATATTTACACTCCAGTATTTGAATTGTTTTGTGTATTTCAGAATTTTTTTGTTCATTCTTTTGATTTATCTATCATATTCATCAGATTTCAGCATTTAAATATATTTCAGATATTTAAACCTACAAAATAAATTTTTGTATATATAAATATGTGTTTATGAGCTAACGCTATAAGTTGTAAGCTATGTTCACAGTCACAGTGTCAAGGGTATAATCACACCAACTTAGAAAGTAAAACAAATTCTTATCTACAGTTAAGGTAATGACTAATTGCAGTTCAGCTTCTACAGTACTGCAGAGTGGAAATTTGGAAATATGGATTACCATATAAATACAATGTGTAGGAAATGTACTTTTGTGTGCTGAATTGGGCACTACTGAGAGACATTACTGTTTGTAAAACCTATCCTTTCAACAACAAAATCCAGTTCTTCTTATGTATCTGTGGATAGGAGATCTCATTGAAAGAACTGCCTTAAGGTTCAAGAAATGACTAGAACCAAGCAAAGCAAAATAGATGATCATGCTAATAATATCCTAACACACCCGAGTCCTGAAAAAGTTAATTATTGACATCCTTCCTTGAAAAAAGGAAATTGCTTAAAAATGTAGATAAGAGCTGTTACCTTCTTCTTTCCTGGGAAATGTGTGCTACTACCTTAGGACTCAGAAACATTGGACCCAAATACAATATGTTGTTCATAGACATGTGCAGCTTAAAATGAGAGGAGGGAAACTAAACTTCTGGGCCCTCTTATTTACATAACTTTTTTAATTGCTTATGATCTTTTACTTAAAAAACAATTTTGATCCTATTTTTGAATTTTTGAAATGTATTTTTGGGTGGTTATAGGAGGGAACACTAACTCAAACTCATTTTATTTTAGGTAGTTTCATACATTTTTTGTCATTTTGAACTGTTTTCAGTTGATTTTGAATTTTTTCCCCTTCTTAAGGGTATCTTTGTAGGGATAGTGTCCACGTTAGTCATTTTCAGAGTAGCTTCAAAAATTTCTTCATGATTTTGCTTTGAATTCGTCCATTGCACTGCAGATACATAATGTACAATTTTCAATCTTTTTAAGCTTTTGAAAAATTTGAGAAATAAGCAATAAGACATTTTCTCATATCATCAATATTCTTGTATCTCATTACACTTTTTTTTATTTAATTTGTTTAACATGATTTGATAAAGTTAAAAAATTAAAAATATTATAACTAAATATAAAAATTAATTTTAGTTGTTGGAAGTAGTGCTTCAACCTAGTTCATGATTACAACACCATAAATGTAGACTTTTACAACTAATTAAAAGGACAAAATATTAATATTTTATATCTCTGGTCAATTAAGCAACAATATTGAAACATACAAATATAGTACAATACAAAGAGAGACTACTGTGTCCATAATCATAGTTACTAATGTTTACATAGTCATAATAATCCATGTGCCATAGTTACTGTTAAGTTTGAAAATGTATCTGTGTGTTCTATGTGTCGTTTCTGTCAGATAATTTACATATTTATGGAAATAAAAGTTTTTATTACATTAGGTTAGGGGCCCCTTTCAAAATTTTCAGGGCGACCATGGCCCCCCTTTCCCATCCCCACCTATGATGTTACAATAATTTAATATAATTCCCTATTACTTAGTTACCAATCTAAATGTGACACTTTTCAATGGTTGCATTGTCCTTAATGAAATTTCAGAGAAATGTAGCATTTTATCTGTTTAGCATTTAAATTAATTTGCATATAAAGATTGAAACAAAATGTAAATGTATGTTTCAGAATTAGTTAATCAATCATATGTTTATAAAATAGTAATAAACCTTAAAAGTAATTATGATCCATGAGAGTAAACTAAGATTTTAAGAAAGTTAAGCTCCTGAGGCAAGAAGTAGTAGATGAGGGGTCTAACTTCCACAAGTGACTCAAATATATTGACTCTTCATGTTTTGTTTATTCATTACTCCTATTGCAATTAGATTCCCCCACAGAAGATGATGAGACATATTGACAAATATAGTTTCCACTAATTTTGTTTAGTAACAAAAGTTATTTTTTATCTCAGTTGAGTAATTATAACTATTCATAAACACACAGAAATTTAATTTTTATATTGAAGTTTAATGAGAAATTCTTAATCAGAAAGCACGTGTTGACTAGACTATACATCTATTGTTCCCTCCTTCCCGTAGAGAAATCCTGGTTATGCCTCTTGTATTCTTTTGAAAGCACATATTTTAGAGGTCTTCAAAAACATTTTTTATGTGTGTGAATGCATGTGTGTGTATGTGCGCTCATGCATGTGTGTGTGTGTGCATGTGTGTATGTGTAAGTTTTAAACCTTTTGACATTGTGGATTATTTCGATTTGCCCCACCATTTAATGATTTGTTCATCTTGATAATATTCTCAACAGTATATCAATACAATACTTTGTCTCTTTTGCATTTTATCAAAATATTCAAAAGTATACATACGTTTTATTAATTGATATAACATTTCTAAACATAATGTGGTGTTCCTCAACCTCAAATATATAAATTCTACCATAATATTTGATATACTACACTTTGTGTAATTTTATCTTTCCAAGACCCCGAAGAAAATTCTTTTGTATTATAACTACTATTGGCTGGCTCAATCTCAGTTGAGTATTCAAAAAACTGTAGGCCTACCTATAATTTTTTTTTTTACTTCCTCTTTTACTCACAGGTAACACAAAAGGTAAGCAAGAAATAAGAAGAATTTTACCTTCTCCTTCTGTTCAATTAACAAGAATTGAAGGCAAGATTTTCTCAAAAACAACAAAAACTAGTCAGATGTCTTGGAGTCACCAAGTAGGCATCTTTTTATTATTTTTTCACAAACATTTTAATTTTTTTTTTATAATATTTTTATTCGTTTATTTATTTTTGATTTTATATTATTTTTAAATATTTTATTTTTCCCTCTTAAAGTTTAAAGAGTGGTTTTCACTATTGGGCTTTCACTATTATATTCAAATTGTAACAGTAGTTCATTTAATAACAGAAGTATTTTGCATAGAAGAAATTGCTCCTTTTAATGTTTAAAAAACAATTGTATCCACATCTCTTGAACAATAGACTCTACACCTTATGCTGCTTTGTTTGACCATGAAATTTCATCAATGAAATCCCTCATACTCATCTTTAATATTTGTTACTCCAAATTTGAACTGTATTAATACAATGAGATATGTTGTCAATGTGAGAACAAGCTGCAAATAATGTTACAAAAAAGTGAGAATTAGTTAATGTTAGACAAAGAGCCATTTAAAAACTTGAAAGTAAGATACATACCGACACAAATAGGCCTCTGTTAAGAGTAAAGAGACCATGCACCGACATTGAAGGTGGATCATACTGAATTGTTTCTATCATATTCAGCAACTATAAAAGCAATTCATCCTTTATCCATTAACAAATTCATTAAGTACAGTATCAATTGATTAAATAATAGATGGAACTTATTTTATAACAAATAATAGTCAATTATAAAGTTCTTTAAAACAGAAGTGGAAATTTTAAAATATTAAAATGACTCTTTGTTCATGATTGTGTGTTGTAAAAGAGATAAATAATAATATGTTTATTTTAGATTTGCATCGACCACTTGTGTTATTAGCGACCAGTAAAAGAAAGTGCAGGGAATCTGTAACTCATGAAGATATTTGCAATTGCCCTCCCCTCATATACATCACATTTGAGTCATCATACAATATTGAAATTGTATATCTAACTTACCTTTTCTCTAATCTTGATATTTATAACATCATATTGTAGCATGTATATGGTTTCTTCAGTGTCTTCTTTTATCTGAAAAATTGAAATCAAGCTATTATAGGGACATATTTAACTTTTGGATAGATAAAAAAATTGAATTCACTCATATTAAATATCTTAGGTACATTTGGAAAATATCTAGGAGAGATGAAATAAGAAATGCAGAGAAAAAAACATGGATCTAAACACATTGTTTTAGAAATTTAGAAATACAGCAGGAAATGAAAAATCCCAAATCTCTTCATAAGAAAAGTTCTTAACTACAAGACAAGAAAAAAAGGAGGCCATGGATACAGAAAATGCTGAGAAGACCAGAACGCCTTCGAATTGACAAAGAGAATTCTGGAAAATTGAATGGAATTGGCCAAAAAGCGTAAACATAGATATTTGGGAGGATGATAATGATGTATAGACTGAAATCCACATTCTTGTTTAGGTACAAATACTAGGTCTTATATACACTTGAATATGGAAAGTTATTTCATACTGACAAAAGGCAATATTTTGATGGACAACATGTTTTGGAGGGGTGCTTGAAAATTATTTTTTCTTTTTTCATTAAAAACTGTCTGTTGGTTCAACTTTCTGTGAAAACTACTAGTGCCTAAACTATGCCCAGAAATATCATGAATGTTCCCCTCTTGATCTGATCAATCTCAAAGCTCTGAGAATTTGAATAAAATCTTTTAATTTTTGGGGGTACTTCACATGAAACTACAATGATATTTTCAGTGCTTTCTCAAGAATAACTCCAAAGTTTTTAATTCAATTTTCTGTTTGAATAGAGTAATGTCCATATATAATTATGGCATATGCCCAACTTTCATCACAATCTTTGAATTTTTAATTATTGTAAAGTTCACATTTTTTATGACTCTCAACTACATTGTTCAATTTATATTATATTTTTATATAGTCTATTTTTTTAAATTACGCTTTAAATGTCATTTATATTTTTCCCAAATTATGAGATTTTTAGCATAATTTTCCATTTTATAATGGCAATATTCCACCAATATGTAAAGAAAAACTTATATTTTTTTCTTTTAGCTTTTTATGAAGATGGGGCACAATATACAGAATTATTTGGCACAAGTGTTATTTTCCTTAAAATTTAGGAATTACCAAACATTAAATATAATATGATATTTTAATGCATTGTGCGCTGTTTATAGATCCCTATGTGAAGAAACTTGTCACTGGCCATGAAATTTACAAATGTGGGAAAGAAAATGTTCACATGGGTTTAGCTAGTATTATAAAATTATAGAACCATTAAAAATAAAACAAGACAGTATGTTTTGTGGTACCACAAAGTGTCATACTGAAAAAAATCCTTATTCTATTAAATGTTTAATATTTTGAATTTTAACCCTGAAATAAGAAGTGATTATTTTAGTATTTAATTTATTACCGTAATCTATAAAGAGGCTGAGCTGGTATTTTGATCTTATCATATCTATTGAAAACAGCCAACCAAAGTTGACAGTTTTTCTAATAGTAAGGGAATTTAAGAGTTTGCATTTGCAATGCATTCGAAAAGCTTTTAACAAAAACAACCATAGTCCAAAAACAATGATTTTGGGTTCTCTTCATTATTCTATACTGCTCTCGTTGGGCTTCATCTGTACTAAATAGTGTAGGAATATTAGCATGGTAAGGAATATGGAGCTTCAAAATACCAATAGTATGAGATTCTACCATTTTCCAGAATCTACCATTAGTAGTCTGTTGGTGTGGTGAAGATGTATGCATGTTCCTCGCTTCCTGTGAGGTGCCCTATAGTCACAAATGGGTAGCAGCTAATTTAATTATGTAGATACTGTGTTGGTGGTTGAAATCCCTGAGGATGGAAACACATTTTTTGAAACATAGGCAAAACACTATGTTTTAATTTCTTTTTACTCCTGCAGCAACTGCCCCCTCCCCCAATATTATGTACATCAAATACATATTGGGAGCAATACAGACTATTAAACAGTAAGTCCTTTGATACAAGCATACTGCAAACTGCTTTTTGTACACTTGTATTAAAATTAATATTATTTAAACAAAGAGAATTTAAATTTATTTTTTTATAAAACCGTCATCTTAAATTTTAATAAAAAATACTTACTCTCAAAACTTGCCCCCCAATAAAAGTTCTGAAATTCCAATTCTAGGCATAGGCATAAAATTTATGTAATGCCAAATAAACAATAGATCCCAAAAGAGTTGCTGAATCTTGGCTACCTGGGATGAGCTGCATCCTTTGTGATACAAGGGTTGATATTCCAACCGTCATATTGCAGCCAGGGAAGAACACACAGAAAAGCAAAAGTATTTTCATTGTTATGACCTTCTTGAGCAGAATTCTATCTTCGAATAAGGCTGCAATATGTTGGTCAAAACAACAGTCACTCTAATACAGAAATGGGCTCATCCTGGATAGTCAAGATTCAAGAAATGAAAAAAGTTAGTAATGATTTGAAAGTCTTATGAAAAAAATTGATAATAGTCCTGAGACAAAAAGAGGCCAAGATCATTGGCTTTGAATCCAGTACCAGTCCAGCTTTGAATACGTACTGGTTTATGAAATAAAAAGAGTAAGGAAAAATGCCAAACTGTATGTGAATATTTGTTTTGATATAAAATTAAGGTAATAAGTGATATGTTATCTTTAGAAGTTTTGTTAAGCAAACATTTCTTTGACTATAAGTTTACTATAATATCCCTAAATTATAAGTTAAATTTAAGTTAAAAAAATTAATTACAAATTATTTCAGAATGTAGCATCAAGTTGCGTTAAATTGGTATTTTACAGTACTCCAGTACTGACATAGTGTCCCAGAAACTATTTCTATTGATTTTATTAAATACATTTTGGGTTCTATTTTGTTACTGTACTAGTGATATGTATGTACTATTTCCATTGAAGCAAAGTGCAGTATTTTCTGTCTTCATTTTTGTTTGATAAGAGTTTCTTCTTCGTTTGATAAGATCTTTTACCTTTGAAAACAGCAAATCAAGATCTTTACTATTATTTGTCTTGTCCTCTGAATTTTAGATATTTATGCTTCCTTATGTCTTCATGTCAATTGAATTCATAGGTTTCTTGACAATTATAAATTTCGCCAATTATATTTTTTGTTATAACATTTTTTTTCCTTCAGCTAAAAATTTTACTAGAGTCCCTATAAAAAAAAAAAGGTAATGAGAGTAGCGCAATCGCCGCCATGTAACTTCCTCTCTCCCGGTAGCCTCACCAGGCGGCAATCAGAAGATGATGGAGTGTGATAACAATTGGTGACGTTAAGGAGATTTTTCTCCAAAATAGCTAATTTTGAACAACAGACTGTCTGAGACAAAAATCTCATCTCCAATTTAGAATTTTACATTCTTTTTTTCTTTCTCCTTCCATTTTTGAAAAATCGGGGATGTCAAAGAAAAAAAATGAGACCTGTACCATTCTCTTAAACATTCATTGCACTATTCAACTACAATATTTAATAAAAACATTTGGAGCCTTTTCGAAAATTTTGAAAATATAGGTTTCAAATCCAATGGGCCGTGATATCAACTAGATCGGTTGGGGAATATCAATTTTGGAGAAAATCGGCTGAGCGCTAGCGTTGTGAATAGACAGACTGATGGACGGACAGACAGATGTTTTGATGTCAATCGATTTTTCGGTATGCAGGACGTACAAAACATGGATTCTGGCTACACCATGTGTTATATTTTTATTATATAGTTAGCAACTGGATTTATCCACTTTTTTCAGGGCCCGACATTACGAGTTTTGTGTCGAAAATTCGCCATTTTCAGGCGCACAGTTTCAATACTTTCTCTTTTTATGTTAGTAAGTGCGGGAAAGCAAAAAAACGGGGAAGTGAGGAAGAAAGTTGGGAAGATGTATAATAATAATAATAATAATAATAATAATAATAATAATAATAATAATAATATAATAATAATAATA